ATATATCTATATGTATATCTATATGTATCTATACATATCTATATACATATATCTACACACACATATATATACACACATATATCTATACATATATATATACATATATCTATACATAAATATATATATACATGTATATATATACATATGTGTGTGTGTGTGTGTGTGTGTGTGTGTGTGTGTGTATGTGTGTGTGTGTGTGTGTGTGTGTGTGTGTGTGTGTGTGTGTGTGTGTGTGTGTGTGTGTGTGTGTGTGTGTGTGTGTGTGTGTGTGTGTGTACATATAAATGAATATGTATATGTATATGTATATGTATATGTATATGTATATGTATATGTATATGTATATGTATCACACACACACACACACACACACACACACACACACACACACACACACACACACACACACACACACACACACACACACACACACACACACACACACACACACAAATAAGGTAAAGGGTCTTAAAATCACAAAAATCATTTTCATTTTGCAGTTTGCTCTTAAATATCACATATATAAAAGGAATTGAAATATTTCTTAGCATTCTTTAAAGTTGATTTAACTTTCCATTGCATATGGCATATTTGAGATCCAACTGCAAATGATAAAAAATGTAGTTTTTTTTCCTTCACAAGGATTTTCAAAAACTATATTAGCTTACTAGTCAAATCTACATTTCCATTTTTGGTATGGTATTATCAAACATTCCATAACATCAAATCATTAATATTGAAGTTAAAACTAGATGTAATATATTACTATATCTACACATTAGTATAAAACTCTACTCCAGATTCAAATAGGTTAACACACACAAAAAGTGTTATGAATCAAAATCACTAAGTCTATCTATAAATATATTAAGATAAAGAGAGACAGAAAATACAGAAGGTAACCCCACTGCAAATAAACAGCTAATGTACACCATCATTCTACTCAATAACTTAATAGAGGAAATATCAAGACAGAAATAGTAAATACTTCTTCCTATACTTACAGCTGCTTTTAACACAACATCAAGCCATAGCATTCCACAAAGGAACAAGCCATAAATGTCTGCTTTCCCATCAAGTTCAGGGAGTACTGGGCAGTTTATAGCAAACTTAGAGCCACATTGCAGTCTATAAACTCTCCCCCCCCCAATTAATACTAAGTCTAAATGATCTTGATGTTCAGTAACAGACAACTCTGTTCAAGCTTTTGTCTGAGGTATAATTACAGCTGACAAAGTGTTTGCCACACCCACACCATAAGATGCAAGTTGTCCCCCATGTTTTGTTACCTATAATTACACACAGGACCAAAGCAGGGACAGAGTAGTGTCTTTCAATATTTTCTTTCACTTTTTCTTATAGACTAATTTCTTAAAAACTGATAGTATGCTAATTCATATTTACAACCCATTTCTTCTTATCCCATTACAAATAATGTTCTAGCTATGCTTTAGATATCTTAATAGAAACTTACAACTCACATCAATCAACAAGTAAATGATGCATTCAATTCAATATCTTAATTAAATCCAACCACTTGTTATATCTCTTAGATGTTTCCATTTAGTGTCAAAGCATAAGAAATATCTTTTCAGATTACTGAACTTCTCTCCCACCATGAACTTAATAAAAATAACCTGACTGCTTTCTTCTTCTACTAGAAAATTTACCATTGCAACATAATTGAAGATATATAACTGGCATGAGCACTGCGCCAATCACTATAGAGGCTGCAAATACCTGATGCAGAAAAAAATAGAAATAATTTTTAACAACGAAAATCATCCATCAAGCTATTACAGTGTCTAATACTCTACTTTGTCAAGTTTGCAAAATACAATTCTCTTTTTTTATTAAATAGCTAAAGCTTTCTTCAATTTCTACTGCACAGTGGCTGTTATACCATTCTTCCTACCCCGTCCATGGAATACGAATGATGCAGTTTTTTTCGTGTTCGGCAGCTGCAAGGTGTGTTTGGGGCAGAGGAGGGCTGGGATATGGAAAAAGACCTAGAGACAGAAGGTGGGTATTTCCTCTGCATGAAACCGGGTGCCCCCGAGGAAGAGGTTACAGGTGGGGACTGCAAGGAACCTGGCGGACTAATTTTGGAAAAACTCGTTTTTGAGGAAGAGGATGTCAGTGTGCAAGTCCTCCTGAAGGAATGCCTTCCCCGGACACCTTGAGGAGATGTGCCCGCTGAGGCTAATCCCGCCAAAGGAGGGGAGGACTGGGAGGAAGTGGATGTGCCTGGTGGGCCCTCAGCAGAGGTTGCCCTCGGCAGTACTGGGGATTGGCACAACCCGGGAGGTGGTGATGAAGAGGGGGAGGCATTCAGGGACTGAGAAAAGGTGGGAGTGGAGGATTGTGAAAAACAAGGTGGGGGCGACTCTGAATAGGATGGGGGTGGTGTTGATCCACTGGGCTTTGGTGTAAAGGGAGAGGGAGATAAAGAGAGATGGAAACAGATAGGGGTACAGATAGAAGTAGAGGTAGAGGTAGAGGAAGAGGTAGTTGTAAAGGGAGTGAAAGAGGGAGAGGGAAATAGAGAGGGTAGAGAAGAGGGGAGGGGAGTAAGAGTGAGTATGTGAGAGTGACAGTAAGAATAAAAGCAAGACATAGGAGAGTGAGTGAGTTAAGAAAAGAAAAACAAAAATTATACAACATTACTTCCTCTTATGAAAACAAAAAACTAATAAATTACAAAAACAATCACTGAAGTGTGTATATTTGACAATGGGGTTGTTATATTTTTATAAACAAAAAAAAAAATCTATTATTAGAACAACAGACATGCAAGAAAAATGTTTGTCACTAAAACATGCATTCTTGTGCAACTTAACTCTACCATGCAGTGGTGAAGATGCAACAAAATGATGAGTTGGGCTAAACCAGGCTATCATACAAGTCTAGACAATAATGATAAGGAAGGCATGATGAATTCACTAAAGTCTAGCAAATGCTCTCGGGAATAAGGAATATATGCATATATGCAAAACGGGAGCCCGGAAACGGCGTCAGATCTTAATCTCTACTACTTTCAAATGCACAACTTTGTATGTCAACTACACGGAATTTCATACAACTACTACAATTTCTCAGATCATGCAACATTAACTTAATGTTTTGCATTAGGGAGAAATATCAAAAATAAAATTATAAACTAAAGCAGTCTTTGCAATTTCCTTTTTTCTTTCTTTCTTGCAAAACTGCAATTACATACTACTATGTGGATTTTATTGAAGAGGAACTCTATTCATTGATTTTGGGCTTTGCTTTTAATTCAAGTAATTACTGAATAATAGATAATGGGGACAGTAATACAATATCTATCAGCACTGTAGTTGAGGAGTATCTTAAACCCAATGGCTATATCTGAAATTTAGGTATCGCAGATTTGTCTTTCTCGTCATCAATTTCTGAAGTCTTATCTCACCACACAGGAGAATTAGTTGGTTATATAATACCACATACCAAGGATTTATTAATCACAAAGGAAAAATCAGTAAATTAGAAAAAAAATGATAATAAAATAAATAAACAAATAAATCCAAAGAATAAATCTGGGCTCTCTTGTTCTTTGGTGTTATAGGTGTTATGTGTTAAAGGATACAGGCCTCCACCCTCTCCATTCAACATAACCATTACCTCACCATGACATTTTGGGTCCAGACTCTTGTATCAAAGAAAAAAACACAAAGGCCTTACTGATCTCTTTTCTTTTCTTTTCTTTTTTTCTTTTTAATGATATGCCAATTGATCCAGAAGTCTGATTATTAAGAATGTGCAATAATCACAAAGTTAATGGATCTCTTTAGGGTATTAATCATCCTCTCCCTTGCAAATGGACCACTAAAATGCACATGATATCCACATCTTACAAAGTCTAAATCACTGTTAACATAATTATATCTATGAAGGCTGGTCTAGCTTACCCCATTTTTCTGCTGCTTGTATTGTGATCCATGAAAGCAGTGGCTTTGGCAGTGCATTGCTTTGCACTATACATGCTCATTACACTGCAATCTATAAGACTTGTGATCAACATGCAACGGAAATGATCAAATCAAGCCTCATGGAGTGCAAAGTATATTGAGACAGGCAAATGACCTTTAATGTGAACATACCAATGTTTATGTACAACTAACTCTGCCCATTCTAATCGGAAAATTAGCAGTAGACTTAGTTCAATTACAATGCTTCCCTTAACACCTTTTCCCATGCCTAAATTGCAATTCCAAGCACTGACCTCCCCCAAAAAGCAAAAAATAAATCAAATAAAATTCAATTAGAAAAAAATAATAATAATAAAAGGAAATGCCCATGAAAATTCCCACCATATCCTTTCTAGGTACACGATTACCGAAAACAATTTCTTTTTTAAAAACTAGACAAAGCCACTGCCCCGGACGACAACATCCACAAAGGACAGCAACACTGGGAGACACGGTACCTGGCCTGGCGATAGGGACGTGACGCCAAGTCTTACCCTGGTACCCCGAATGGATGACGTAGTGGAAGAGGCAACAGAAGACCCGCCAATGGACTCCTTGCTGTTGGAACGGCGGAGGGAGCCCCGGGGGGTCTGGGACAGGGAGGAGGTACGGCGCGGGGTCCCTGAACCCCCGGTAAACTTGCTTACGCGGGCCACTGGGGCAAACAGCCCATACTTGTTCTTGCACTCAAAATATCTGTTTTGAGGAGGTAGTAAAATTGTACTCATAAAACATTGTATTGGTTTTGGTAAAAAAAATAAAAAAGAAAGAGTATGAGATTTAAGTACATTTATTACCCTCAAGTCCACTAAAAATGATCATATCATTTCACACAGAGTAATACTCAGACACTAAAGAAGCAAAAGCCATATCAGCAAAAAAAAAAAATAATAATGATAATAAGGATATAAATAAGTAAATGAATAAATAAGAAAAAAAAAACTAACAAACTTAGAACTCACTTTTTGCCTGCCACAGAACCATCGTTCTTGCCATTGGGCTCATCCAGTTCCACCCCGGCCCAAATGCCCTCAGCAAAGTCTGCCTTTCCAATGAAGCGCAGCGTGCCGTGCTTGACTCCTGAAGCACTGTTGATGACTACACGGTCTCCTACTTTCAAGTCTGAGGATACAGAAGCTGTGGAGATGGAAAAAATATTTTAATCCTAAGATCACCATTTTCTTCATAAGCGTTCTCACGTACATCCAGTCCTCCTTCTGGAGGTGATTTCTTTTTGCATCATGGACAGCAGAATATAGTTCATAAAAGCATCAGGCATTTTGATAAAACGGTTCCATAATAACCTAGGCTTACATTAGTCCTGAAATAGCTTGTCATGTTCACCATAACAAAAGCTGCTTGTGCATAAGAAGGTTTTTTTTTCATATTTTCTCTCTCTCTCATGCAAAAAATGCAACAGGCACAAAGTGACATTTCTTTTTATTCTGTTGATTTTCAGTCCAAAATTCCTTTTTATTACCACTACCATTATCATCACCTTCACTGTCATTATTACAATGAAGCTGACCATGGCAATAATACTGATGCTCATGGTGCTATTTATTACATGCAAAAATTTACAAACAAGCAAAATATTTACTCAAGAATTTGTTTTATTGAAAAATACAAGTTTAGTAAAAAAAAATCTGATCATTCATCACTGCTCTAACAAAACTAATTTTAAGGAAATTGTGAACATCAAAAAATCTGTTTATATCTGCATAGATCTACAGCATAAAGACAATGAAAATATAATTGATAACCCCTTTAAACTGGTATCTCTCGTGTTTATTTAACAAGTGAGAAGTAGCAAAAAAAGATAATAGAATAATTCAATAACTAAATATATCAATAGTTTTCCAACAAATATACTCTACAGAAAGAAATGACTTCAGAATTTTTATTATTCTACCTTTAATATATACCCTATATCTTCTAAACACTAGGGTTTCTGATATCTTCTGTCACTAAATCAAATGTCATTATGATACTTATTAAAACACTAATGGTAAAAATGGTGATTTTTATACCCAAACTGACTAACTGGGATTCAACCATAAAAGTGTAGACCTTTAAGTTTGAAAATGGATCTTATATTTTATGAATCAGCATGATCATAAAAAAATCCTACAAAGTGTTTTGCAATCATCTTTCAGTTAAAAGGTAAGAACTAAAATCACTTCAACCTCAAGATAATAAATGATTCCCTTTAAAATACTGCACTTCACTAATAATCTGCATCATTATCATACACAGATCAACAGCACTAGCCTACATGGGCAAGGTTGGTTGCATTCAACTCTAGCATTTTGGGGGTACATATTTATCATACAAGAAAAGCATCTTAACAAATTTCAGAAGAGAAACTATCATATTACAGCAAAAGACACTAGATCCTTTTGATAAACTGGAGAGACTAACAGTAATCTCATGCTAAATCAACCTGCACGATGTCCCCTTCATTCACATACACAGCATCCCTCTGACAGATCCCCAAATCTCTGACATATCACATCTTACCCATGAACTGTGAGGGGGAGAGAGAGAGCTCTTTAACATCATATACCTGGGGTAGCATTAGAAGCTTTCCTTGGAGTAGAAGCAGGGGCAGGAGAACCTGACTTAGCAGCAACAGCAGAGGTGGAGGAAGCAGTGGAGCCTGCTGGGGCACTGGCAGGGGTAATCTTACGTGTGGTAGATGACGTAGGGCCCGAGGCCACGCTAGCTGCGGGGGTACCATTGGTCTTTGGGGAGTCTGATCCTACGGTGGAAGATCTGGACGTCAGGATCTCGATGTCCTGGTCAGTGAGAGGTGTACGGGACAGGCGGGTGAGGCGCGAGAAGACACCCTTCTTGGCCTCGCACTGGAAGTAACGCACACCTGCCACGCTTCCATCATTCTTGCCTGAAATGTTATTTGATCTATGTAGCATTAAATGTTACTAAGAAAATAAAAAATATGTAACCTAATAAATGATCTTCATGTCTTATTATAAGTTCAAACATCTAGCTATCACAAATAATACAAGTAAATAGCAGGTTTTTGCACTTATACCGTCTATAACTTTAGGGGGAAAAAATTATTAGTAAGAATTAGAATAACAGCATGAAATCTCCCAACATGTGCATATAGGTGCAGCACATGTATTTTGTATTCCAATAACTAGATAAATATTACAGCTAATTAATAGTACTTTTTTCTTCTGTTTAGTATATACATCTGAAGATCAACTATATATGTAAATATATGTGAACAAATGTGTATATATATATATATATATATGTATATATATACACAGCTACATGAATATATATATATATATATATATATATATATATATATATATATATATATATATATATATATATATATATATATATGAATATTTATATACATATATGACTATATATACAAATAAATATATATAAATAAAAATATATATATAAATATATATATAAATATATATATAAATATATATATAAATATATACATAAATATATATACATA